GCCCAGCAATATCAGGCATTGGTTACTGTTAATCGTGAGATCAAGCAACAAATCAGTAATTGCGAAGAAGCCTACGATGATTTGTGTGGATATTATAGCTTTATGCAGATGCAAGGCGAGCAGGGAGTTGCAAAACCAATTCAAACAAAGGTGGACGATTTATGGACACATGTACGCGAAGAAGCTAGTGCTTTGACATCTTTAGTAGCTCGTCATGCACGCTGGGGCGAGAGCTATGATACTTTAGATAGACTACATCATGAACTAAAGCTTGCTGAACGAGAGCTAGAAATAACTGAAAGTAATAATGCAGTCCCGGAAGTATCTGTATTGGATGATGTGGAGAAGCGCATGCGAGATGTTGGCCGTTCGCTCGAATCTTTAGCTGCAATGACCCAAAATGTGATGGCAATAGACACAGATAATGCAACATTGTATAACAAACATCATTCTCAAATTCTTGCTCTCTCTAAAACTGTACGCACAACACTGTCAGATCACAAACTCACACTCGACCGTCTCAGTTTGGCCGAGTCGTTCGGTCATGATGCTCGTCGACTATGTGGCATGTGCGAAGAGCAACTGTCATTCATTAAGCAGCGTACCATGGCTACACCAGAAATCATTGGTAAAAAAGCCGAAGCAATCAAACAAATCATCAAAACCTACACCAATGTACTCAATAGCGCGCGCGATATCTATAAGCGATGCAGAGACGAGTTTGAAGGAACCTTAAGCGAACAAGCCGATCGTTTGACTAATACCTTACACTACTCACGTTCCGAAGTGAACCGTACTAAGCAACCCCTCGAACGTTTATTGAATGAACTGGATCACACGCTCAAAACTGAGGACGAATATTGCAAGTCTCTTACAGCTGTTTCGAGACACGCTCAATTGGACGCCGAAGTACACAAGTCCATGGATGATTTCAAGGTCTTAGTGTCTCGTTATGCTAAGGGTGTGCTATTGCGTAACAAACCTAGCCTATTGCCCGACGTTACAGAATTTCGCCGTAGATATACTCTTGTTGATGAATCAATCCAACATTTTTATAGTGTTGGGGGCGAACTCAAGAGTCACCTTCAAAAAACTATTGGTGTCGCACGTATGGCTTCTATTGCACGCAACGTTGATCAGCGCCATGACGATGTTAAGAAAAAATGGTCCGAGATAAAAATGCTTGCTGATGAAACAAAGATTCGTCTTGAGGAGACTCAAAAACGTCAGAATGCTACTGCAAAATTGATAGAATGTTCGCGCTATGTCAGTGATCTCAAAGACAGATTGAACACACTTAAATTTGCTGGAAAAAGTGTCGCAGTAGAAGAATTGGAGTTCAAGGGTCTTATGGAAGAGATTGAAGTCAGTCTCGTTGAAAAAATTGCCGAAGCCGATCGACTTGTGTCTTTAGCCACAGATACTGATAACCATCTCCGAAAGCAAAAACTCCAGTTAAATGAAGCTATTAAAGAATTGCATAAGCTTGTTACTATCCGCCAACAACAAGCAAAGACTGAGGGAAACATCACATTATTTATGGGTATGATTGATCAGATTGATGACCACATCAGCCAACTCTCTCTTGCCATTGACAAAGCTGCACCACACCATGCCGGAGTTACCAACGATCGACTCAACAAGCCCGAACTTCATGTTATGTTGCGTACTCTTGTCAACACATTCAAAGCAAGCGAAGCTGTCATAGTTGATCTGCTTGCCAAAGCACGTTCTGAAGCACAAAAACAGTTTTTGGATGATAATGCTCGAGTCTCACGCCGCCTGGAGAAAACCGTCGACAAATGGAAAAAGGTCACAGCAGCATCACAGACACGCCAACGAGAAATCCAAGCCTGTATTCACCAACTTAACAATGAATATTTTGCTAAGCTTGCCACAACCAAAAATTCTCCTCGTACTAAAAACACAACACCTCCCCCACAAATGAAGCCAAATGTACCCAGACAAAGTCAAGGTCTTAACGGAAGCATAAATAGTAACGGAACATCGTCTGGGGGTAATCGCCGACCAAGCTTTAAAGAAACTAGACAAGATAACCGGTCTCTTTCTCCTGGAATGAGTCCAGCAATGCGCCGTTCCCAGACGCCTAATTCTACTCGTTCTCGTGAACGTCAGACTCGTACTGGATACGTAGCAGACCCTAAGAATGAGTTAGATGTTCAGCTTGGTCGTATCGTCAATGAGAGTCCCTACCAAATGAAGATTAAGATGGTCCAAGGCCAGGCTGGAAAATATTGGTTCGGTGATGAGCATCCGCGTCTAGTATATTGTCGTATATTACCCAGTCAACTTGTAATGGTTCGTGTTGGCGGTGGTTGGGTTGATTTGACCAAATTCTTAAAAGGTATTTATAAAATATCATGAGCATACATTACTCTTTTTTTCTTATAATCGTTTTTTTTTGTACAGATCATGGACACCCAGAAGCTATTAAGTCAGACCCTACGACTACTCAATCTTCCTCAGCTTCGATATTGGATAATAAGTCGGGAACTAATACCCCTACACCTATGAACAGAAGAGTAAGCAACGCAAGCAACGGTGCCCTTGATTCTGCATATGGAAGTGTGTGTTCTACGGGTCAGCTAGATGGCGACAAATATGTACAGACCAATGAAGAGGGTCGGAAACTTGTGATGAAGATGACTAAAGCTGAGGAAAATGCAAAGATGCCTTTACCGAAAAAGAAGTCGTGAATAGAGAAAACCAATACATTTTTATTGGAAGATTCATAATTGTACAAACAGAACAGAAAAAATATACCAAAAACGGCGTAGAGTGCATTGATATTTGGTGATATGTACAGTGTCATAGTCTATCTTACCCTAAAAAAAACCAGAAACTCAAACCAATAAAAATATACATAAAATGTTCGATATTTGGTACATTTACTATCTTTTCTTTCTTGTCTTTCAAGAAGAGTACTTTCTCGTTTTACATTATCTTATTGTATTGCTTATAATGTACATTATTCTCATGGTATAATAGTTATTAAGTTCTTTCTTCCTCTAAAAAGTTTGAAAACTAAAACCTTTATAAAGTTTTATTTTGCGCAGTAGACTGCATTATAGAGCTTGTATTCGGTTTCTCGCTCTTTGATTATGAGGCATCATGTAGTATGTATACTAAAAAAAAATCAAATATACTTTGTAGACTCTAAAGATCAACTTACAAGTTGTATATCAAAGGTAGACAAATCTGTACAAATTAGACCTTACACAATTTTTTAAAGTATCATTAGAATTAGATAAAAGCATATTGTGTTTTCTTTTTTTCTTTAAAAAAATGACATTCTTTTTATTATTACATACGCAGCTTTCAAAAGAAAGTTTACTAAAAAAGGAAGTATAATCTGCTTTAGTGAAAGTTCTCCTTAAATTTGTACCCTAGGTTAAAGGGTTTACTAAATGTTGCTGTCAAAAAGCATAAACTGTGAGAAAATATGGGATATATTGGTTCTTTCTTTTTTTGCAAAGAGGTAATATGATTGGTTGATTAAAATTGTGCAAAAAAGACTGTGTCTGTTTGTCTACCCTTCATATTTAGTGCATATAAGTATGGTGCAGATAGCAAACGCTCCCTGCTTTCTGCAACGCGTTTTACTCTTCCTTTTCGACTTGTTCACAGAGTATCATGCCCATTCGCCATTTTGACAGTACGTTTTTATATATAAATCCTCCTTTTTCTAAGTCAGTTTTGTCGCAGTATTTACGGCTGAAAGACGCCTCATCCAGACATCTGCTATCTCGCAGCTCAAAGAAACCAGGCTTGGTATCGAAGGCAACTACTGGCTCCGAAAGATTCTTGCCAAAGAACCAGCAGTAGCAGCCTTGGGTGGAATTCCATTCAATCTAAAACACTCAATTGAGCGAGAAATTAAGCACTTCAAGTAAACCAAAAATAGAGACTAGTACACTTCTTATGAATCTCTTGGAGACTCATCATATATACCTTCAGGGACAACCACATCCAGCCGCTATTTGTATTTCCAGGTTTGTCGATCCTGCGGAAGGACAAACCATTTTCCTCGGATGACAATCGACCATCTCACAGGGCTACCGGATGGGAGTTGTATGAAAAAGGCAAAACAGATCTCGCATTAACGCACTGGATTAACAGTGGGGGTATTCATCCTGCTGATCTACTAAACCAAGTATTTCACATTCTCCATCAACATGGAATTGAGTTTATTCGTGCACCTTATTCTGCTTGGGCTCAAGTAAAGTATACCCTAAAATTATTCTTAGTGGTATCTGCTTACTTACACAATATGATGTGCTTAGTTGTCCTATATGTATAATCATCCTCGACCTATGGTTTCTGCTGTTTACGGTGGTTCCGAACTTCTCATGTTTAATGTGGATAAAGTTATTAATGCAGTAGATTTTGAGGTAAGGGATTGTTCTTTACAACTTCTCGAAAATAAATTAAAATTTATTAATATATTTGATATAGAAAGCTAGTTATACATGGATCAGCAAGAAAACAGTTTTGCAGGATTTACATGTATCAGAAGAGCAATTTTTAGATATTTGCATATTAGCCGGTTTTGAATACTGCCCAAGTTTCCCACCTTTCAACACCAACGTTATCAGCTTCTCATTCAAAGGCGTGCATGACTTGATTAAGCAACATAAAACAGGATTGAATGCCATTCAATTTTATTCCAACGATCCTACAGTTTCAAAGACAAACTACGTGGATGCGTTTTTCCGCGCACGTTGTGCCATTAGATATCATTTGATTATGACTGACGAAGGAGAAGTGAGACCATTAAACGTGGACCAGGCACCAAATGATATTCACGAGCTTATTGGGTATCGTTTACCAGATGAACTTTATTATTATCTAATGCATTGTTTGGTGGGACCACAGGTATGACAATTAACGGTGTATATGTAATATATAATTAAATTAACACCGGAAAGTGAACTATACAGTCTATCAATACTTTGGTTTCTGGTGTACTTATCGAGAACGCACCTTTGGATAATGGAGAAACGGCAGAATATCGAAATTTCTTGATCCAACTACTTGATATTCGGACGCAAACATTAAGTTTGTTGACTCAACCATTACATCAATACTACCAAGGCCGCAAGGTAGTCAGCTATTTTTGGTTTGATCCCAACACAGAACATGTAATGCATCACCACGACGACCACGATCACTCCACAACCAGTAACACGAGTCCATTAAATACGGTCTATGAAATGACGAGTTCTTGGAATGTGACTAAAGAATTAATAGAAAATGAAAAGGCCGAACAGCATGTAAAGTTTACGATGTCTTTTTTTTAGTTGATATGTTATTACTAGTTTGATTATAACGTGCGATTAATTTAATAGGGGTCCACAATCGATGTTTCATTCTGTATCCGGGCCACAGAAAACGAAGCCAAAGCTGCAAAGACCGTTTCAAAACCATCGTCAGGAAAGGTACACAAATAATGATATGTTTAAATAATTGGCTTATGAGTCTATTAACTTACTGCTCCTTTAAAAAATGGTGATAATTCATAGATTTTGCATATCAAGGATGAGATTGTAGCCAATGTACTCTGGAAAACTTTGGAGATTCGCGAGTAAGTACATGATAAATTTGTTTTTAATATATATATATATATATATAACATTATATTGTATTATTAACTCAATATGAAGTTTTCTTACTTCTTCCAAACATATTCACACGCCCTGGGGTCGTGCCTTGTCTGTGGCCCTGACCAACATCTCCAAGACAATGGGGGTGCAGCCTACAATGTCTACTCAGGAGGCTTTTTTGACTGCATTTGAGTTGATCCGTTTTGATGTTCTGACCAATAAACCGTACAGCAAGACATACTCTACTATTGCTGGAGATGGTAAGTATATCGAAATAGGAGTTGTAATAAACTAACACAGGTGTAGAAAAAGAGCAGTGTCATATCCGTCTAATTTCACGTGCACTATCTTTGCTGCCCATGGAACTTAAGGTGAGATTGATGATTAATTAAGAGGAATTATATACTTAAATTACACACCTAAATTATGATATATTTTAGAGTGCTCCCTGGTCTGGTCCATTTAATCGGGATCTTTTAGTGTTCAACAGCTTTGTGAAGGCACTTGATCGTAGCTATAGAAATTTGTGCGAAATGTTGACTCTTTCGCTCTTCCTCAATAATGGGGTCGTAAAAGAGCAAAAAGATTATTTTGAGATTGCGGATAGGTAAGACAAACAGTATATTAATTTAGCCAACTATTTTGACCTTTTGTGATTTCCAACAAAAAAAAATACTCGTTTAGTCTTCCTTACATGTCGGATGCCAATGTTACCCTCGGACTGGTTACGAAGCATTACCTTGAGCAGATTGTGACTGGCAGAGATCCTGCATCTGCCACCCAGTCTGCAGAAAAGACATTCTTGTCGTGCACTGCATTGGCTGCCGATCTTAGGAGGGGTCTCTTGTTCTGGGATGCACTTGTCAAGGGTACCAAGGTTCTTAAGGATGCAGGAAGTTTATCGAATGAGTCCTACCAAGCCTTTTATCAGGCTAATCAGTGGTTACAGAACAAGTTTTAATAGTTCCAAATACATAATGTACATATGTATACATGTAGGAAACTTGAAATTAATGTATTTAATCTCCAAAATAACACACTGTTGATGCATGAAGCTTTTTGGCATCAGAGTGATGGAACGGTTGGTAGGTTTCAATTTTTGAAATGAATTCTTATTTTGTTTGATGGTGCAGTAAACTGCTTTTACCCTGTACTGCGCAGATATAGAACTTCTATTTGACTCGGGCTGACTTGTTTGGTTATAAAATATAAAGCAAATCATAACACAAGATCTTCAATAACCTTTTTCTTTCACATGAAGTTTTGTTTGTCATCCAAATCGTTTCTTTCCTCTCCCCATATACGCCAAATGTTAACCAAGACGTCTACATTTTCTCGCTGCAGACATTTCTTAAAGTCTTTACACAACCAGAAACAACCTGGTCTAACTAGCCTGTGCGAGACCACCACAATGGAATCTAGTCCGAGCAACAGCCAAGATATTTTACTCAAAATACATAAATCATCAATCTATGTTGATCCAGAAGAGTTTCTTGAACAAGATGCCGAGAACAACATCGACCTATGTGAAATACAATCGGTTGTTGGAGTCTATCATATGGAAACAGAGACAGATACAGAAAATACATCTATGCATTGCAGTAGTCCTATAACTATATCATCAATGGACTTTTTAACTGAGATACCAGACGCAGCTGCACCCAGTTCAACTAATGGATATTCTAATTTCTACCTAAAATTACCCAATGGCAATTGGCAAGTACGCTGTCGAGACCAACACCGTACAATTGTCATGAGCTATGAAGTAGAAGGCTGTATGATTTAAGTCTTTCACGGTCTATTTTTACCTACCTTTACCTTATTTTGGCTGTATATATTATTATACTTCTTGTTTGTTTCTTTTTTTTAAAAAAAAAACTCAATATATATGTATATCTGTATCTGTTTATATGTATTTTTCAAACCATATAATATTCGTTTCCTCCCTTGTCTCGGTGTTAATCCCAATAAGATCAGTAAATCCCTATGTGTCACTAGATTATTTTCTACTTTATATATAAAAAGGTTCAAATTTATACACAAAAACCTTAAATTGACCCCTTTATTATGATTATTATGCTTATTATTGTTTATATATATATATATATATATATATATATATACTTTTTATATTTATATTTATCTTACCACACATCATCATGTTTTTCCCAATATTGAAAATCATGTCCAAAATCGTATTCAAGCCCACTCGGCTCTTTTACCTTCAAATGGTATACTTCAAGATATTTCCAGCCTTCAAGAGTATTTACGATATTATCATCTCTCTCGTCATTTACTCCAATTGCCAACACTCGGAGAAGCGGAATCAACCGAGGTAGGGTCTGAAACCTTGTAAGCGGGATATACTCAACCTTCCACACAAATATTTTCAGGCATGGCATAAACCTCCCAAATGATTTTTGTAGACCTGATCCCACAACCTGTAATTCGACCAGTTGATTACAATAAGCGTCCATTAGTATATCAAAATCTTCGGAGACCATTGGAATTGTAAGAATCAATCGGTTAATTGATGAAGACCAATGTGGTAGTCCACATATCCCAGATATACAAGGTGGCGCAAATACTCGGAGTGCACGGGCTTGGTGCAAATGCTCGTCTAAACTAAAGTCAGCCGAGTAGGTCAACCGGAGTGTCACCAAATTCTGGATGTGTTTATGCAGCCAGCCATAGTCTGAACAAGGACCGTGCTCGTATGTGAGATGTCGTATACTGCGTGGTATATAACTAAAGGTGACCTTGTCTAGTTTACAATATTTGAGGGTTAGGGATTTAAGACAGCCGGTGTTGTTCCTGTGGTGCTGCATAAGGATACTCCGGACTTGATGGTCCGTTGCTCCGTGTAACCAAAGTTCTTCTAATCCTTCAAAGGATGTACACAAAATTTCACTATGGCGTGTGCATAACTTCCCAGCTTTAAACGTTCGGAGGTTTCCCAGGACGGGTTTCAGGGCACCGAGTTTTCTTGAAGACATATTGTGAAAAAAATCAGGAATCAAGTATATATTCAAGGTCTGGAGTATTGGTGGTTTGGATCTGATGCTAATCAAAGCATTTCCGGTTAGTTGAGTCGCACCGGCCAAAAACAAGTGTTTGATGTGGATCGCTTTAACGAGGATCATTTTAAAGATAGTGTCGGTCACCTGGTGGCAGTTGTACAGATTGAGACTGGTCAGATTTTGAGTATCAAGTGTTAAGTCTCTTAAAACTGGATCTGTCACTAAATTACAGCAGTCCAACCGAGAAAGATCAAGCTTGCGTACAAGCGCACCATAATTGTAAGAAGAATAAAAGCCATGATTGTGTTGGAGACTTTGTTTCGCAGTTGCGGTAAACAGGTTACGTATATTGAACAGGTCTTTTTTGTCGCGTAATACAATAGTGTTGTATATTTGTTTTGAGACAACGTTAAACCAATTGTGGTTGATAGTAAGTAATTTTATAATTTCTTTCTTGGGTAGATAGGACAAAATGTGAAGGATGATTTCAATAGGAATCCGATCACCCATGACTTGAATGTCAAACCAAAAAAAAAAAAAGAGAGAGAGAAAAAGAAAATAAATCAGCTCCAAGAGTATATATGTATATATCTATGTGTGTGGGCGTGCGTGCGTATGGGCGTGCGGGTGTGGGTGTGGGTGTATACGTGGGTGTATATGTGCGTGTGTGTGTGTGTGTTTGTATCAGCTTGTTCAGGTTTATCATTTTTGCTTTCACTCAACTAGGTTCACACTAAAAAAAAAAAATGAAAGGTGATGTCATTAATTATTTTGTAAATTGCCCTAACAAAAGAAGAGGTAAAAGAGGAAGAAGAAAAAAAAAGCTCTTTTTTTTTGAAACATATCTACATATATTTATGATTAGATAGATGAGATTAATGGCATGTAGTCAGTAAGTATGTATATTGGATTTGTGTATATGTATACAATGTCAGAATTGAAGTTCTATACACATAACACATACGCATATACAAATAAGGTAGAGATTGATATTTATATATGAGTAAAGATCAAATTCTTGGCCAATCAGAACCCTCGATCAATTAAAAAAAATGTGACACATCTAATAAAATAAAGCTAATGATGAAATCAAGATCTGTATAGAAATATATGGCCAAAAGTAAATGTATTTGCTAATATGGCTGCAAGTCTTTGCTTGGGGATGTGTGGGGAAGACTTATTTTATGTAGGATTCACGGGATATTGTTATATTCTTATTTTTAAAAGTCATCTTAAGATCTCAAAATAAATCAGAGATGGTGGATAGTGTATTCAAAGTAATACAGTGTGTGCGATGGCGTTTGCATAAATAAGCCAATGGCAGATTGACTGAGAAACGCTGGGTGCCTGAGGTAACAAAATAGAAAGTCAAAATCTGGATCTTCGGATTTGATATTCTTTGTCCCACTCTGTCATTTTTATTTTCTTCTATCGTCTATTTGAATTATAACCCTTTCTTTCTTTCTCATTCACTCATTACCACAATGGCAACCAAGAAACTAGGTATGTCTATTTGTTAATAAGTATCAAATTTTCTCACATAGCAAACAGATACATTCCAATACCTGGAAAAGACTCTTGCCGAGAGAATCATGTTCCTTGACGGTGCTATGGGTACCATGGTTCAGCGTCTTCGCCTTGAGGAATCGGATTTTAGAGGTAAAAACCAAGATAAATGCCAGTAGACATCTCCTATTGCCAAGCGTCTAGGACCAGTCTTGTTAATCTTAACTTTACACGGAGAATAGGTACTGAATTCAAGAATTCTAAAAAGGACTTGCGTGGAAACAACGATTTGTTGACCTTGACCAAGCCTGATGCGATTTATACTATTCATCGCCAGTATCTTGAAGCCGGTGCCGATATGGTCGAAACTAATACTTTCAGTTCGACCTCAATTGCTCAGCTCGATTATGGACTTGAAGACTATGCCTATCGTCTCAATAAAGAGGGTGCTGCTTTAGCAAAGAAGGCCTGTGATGATGTATGTGTATATCCAAAAGATATCAAGTATATATACGGCCTTTTAATTTAATTTTACTATTTGGAATTACAAACTCGCCATCATTATCTTGGGCTGACATTTATATCCCTCACAGGTCTACAAGGCTACAGGTGTTCCTCGTTTTGTGTGTGGTGCGGTCGGTCCAACCAATCGTACAGCCTCAATCTCTCCTTCAGTAGAGAATCCAGCATATCGTAACGTTACTTTTGATGAACTCGTGGAAGCTTATTCAGAACAGATTCGTGGTCTTTTGGATGGTGGATCCGATATTCTTTTGGTCGAGACTATTTTTGATACCTTAAACGCGAAGGCAGCTATTTTTGCTATTGATGTAGTATTTGAAGAGGACAAGTAAGCTCAAGAAATATTTGGTGTGTCGCAAAATTTAAGATGGGGCTAACGATTATTGCTCTTTTTTTTTAGGCGCCCAAAGGTGCCTATCTTCATCTCAGGAACTATTGTCGATCAGAGTGGTCGTACTCTGTCTGGACAAACAGGTGAAGCCTTTGTGACATCTCTCAAGCACGCAAACCCCATGGCATTTGGTCTCAACTGCGCTCTTGGTGCTGAACAGATGAAGCCTTTTGTCCAAAACATTAGTCGTTTTACTGATACTCATATTATTTGCTACCCCAACGCTGTAAATATAAATCTTTATTTATTTATATTCACATGTGCGTGTACGACCATTGTATTCAATTTTTTGTTTCTGTCATACAGGGTCTCCCCAATGCTATGGGTGAGTATGATGAAACTCCTGCTGCAATGGCCAAGAATGTCGAGCCTTTTGCAAAGGAGGGATTGGTCACGATTGTGGGCGGATGTTGCGGTACCACTCCTGACCACATTAAGGCTGTTGCCGATGTGTGCCGTAAGTACCCCCCTCGCCGTAAGCCCAGCCCAAAGAACGATGTAATGCTTCTCGCCGGTCTGGAAGTCTTGCGCGTGGATGAAATGACAGGTTTTGTCAATGTGGGTGAAAGATGCAATGTTGCTGGTTCCCGCAAGTTCTGTCGTCATATTCTCAAAGGAGAGTATGAAGACGCTCTGGCAATCGCTCGCTCCCAAGTGGAAAATGGTGCCCAAGTTGTCGATGCAAACTTTGATGAGGGTCTTCTTGACGGAAAGGTGGCAATGTCAAAGTTCCTCAATATGGTCTCCTCAGATCCAGACTGTGCAAGAGTACCACTCATGGTCGATTCTTCAAACTTTGCTGTAATCGAGGCTGGTCTCAAGTGTGCCCAGGGTAAATGCATTGTCAACTCCATTTCACTCAAGGAAGGCGAGGCCGATTTTATTAAAAAGGCAAAGATTGTCAAGAGATTTGGTGCCGCCGTTGTTGTTATGGCTGTAAGTTGATTATATCTATGCTTGGCTACTTCCCTTTTTTTCTCACACTGGCATTTATTGCTCTTAGTTTGACGAAGATGGTCAGGCTGTTGAGTGTGAGCGTAAGCTTGAGATTTGCACCAGATCTTACCGTATTCTTGTCGATAAAGTTGGGTAAGGTGTTGATTATGCAAGAAAATCTGTCTTGGTTCTTTTTATGCATTTGTACTGACTTTATTATGGTTAGTATTAACCCCTACGACATCATCTTTGATCCCAACATTTTGACTATTGCTACCGGAATGGGTAAATTACTTTTTTTTCTCCTACTCTTGCAAAATTTGTATTTACTTATGTCTTATTAACATATACTTCTTTGCGACTTTTTATTACTAGAGGAACACAACAACTATGCAGTCGAGTTTATCAATGTCTGTCGCGAAATCAAGGCCAAGTTACCCGGTGCTAAGATTAGTGGTGGTGTATCAAACTTGTCATTTGCTTTTCGTGGCATGGACAAGGTTCGTGAAGCCATGCACTCTGTCTTTTTATACCATGCTATCAAGGCTGGCATGGATATGGGTATTGTCAACGCTGGTTTCTTGACTGTGTACGACGACATTCCCAAGGATCTTTTGAAGCTTTGCGAAGATGCAGTCTGGAATCGTGATCCAGAGGTTACAGAAAAGCTACTCGATTATGCAAAGGCTCACTCCAAGGATGCCAAGAAAGACGAAGATCTTGAAGAATGGCGTGCCTGGCCAGTCACACAGAGAATCTCCCATGCTTTGGTCAAAGGTATCATGAAATTCATTATTGAAGATACCGAAGAAGCACGACAAGACAAGAAGGCCTACCCTCGTGCACTGAACGTCATTGAAGGTCCTTTGATGGCAGGAATGGGTGTTGTTGGTGATCTTTTTGGTAAGGGTAAGATGTTCTTACCCCAAGTCATCCGATCCGCTCGTGTTATGAAGAAAGCTGTCGCCCATTTGGTGGATCACATCAAAGTTGAGAAAGAGCAGGACATGCTTATAACTGGTGAAACCGAGATGAAGGGACATGGCACCATTATCATGGCCACTGTCAAGGGAGATGTACACGACATTGGAAAGAACATTTGTGGTGTGGTGTTGGGCTGCAACAACTACAATGTTGTAGATATGGGTGTCATGGTGCCTTGCGACAAGATCATTGCCAAGGCAATTGAAGTAAAGGCTGATATTATTGGTCTCTCTGGTCTTATCACACCTTCACTTGAAGAGATGGTTATTGTAGCCAAAGAATGCCAAAAGGCCGGTATGACGATTCCTATTATGATTGGTGGTGCCACTACCAGTAAAATGCACACTGCTGTTAAGATTGCTCCTCAGTACAAGTATCCAGTCGTTTACTCTCTCGATGCATCTCGTTGTGTGGCAGTCGCAGCCAACTTGTTGGATGAAGCTCGTAAAGAAGAATTTGCTGAAGATGTTCGTGAAGAGTATAATGAGCTCAGAGAAGAATATTTGGACGGTCTTGAAGATAAGCGCATGCTGTCACTCGAACAAGCCCGTGCCAAACGTCAGGTGATTGACTGGGTGTTGAACCCTCCTCCAGCAAAGCCTACATTCTTGGGTACAAAGGTGTACGATGACTACCCTCTCGAAAAGCTTGTGGATCGCATTGATTGGAATCCATTCTTCCAGGTTTTCCAGCTCAGAGGCCGATACCCCAACCGTGGATATCCTAAGATCTTTGATGATGAAGAGGTTGGCGCCGAAGCGAAACGCCTGTTTAACGACGCCCAGGTCATGCTCAATATGATTCTCAAGAAGAAGTTGCTCAAGGCTCGCGGAATTATCGGTTTCTATCCAGCTAACTCTTCTGGTGATGATATTGAGATCTATACAGACGAGACACGCACCAAGGTGGCAGGTGTTTTCCACGGTTTACGCCAACAAGTCGAGAAGGAAAATGACGAACCTTACTACTGTCTTTCCGATTTCGTTGCTCCTAAAGAAACTCATGTGGATGACTACTTGGGTATGTTTGCTGTTAGCAGTGGTTTTGGATGCGATGAATTGGTAGCCAAATACGAGGCCGACCACGATGATTACAACAGTATTATGGTTAAGGCCATTGCCGATCGTTTGGCCGAGGCTTTTGCTGAGCTTTTGCACGAGCAGGTCCGTAAGGAGGATTGGGGATATGCAAACGAGGAAAAGTTATCTTCGGCCGAGATGTTTGCTGTTCGTTACCAAGGTATTCGTCCTGCTCCTGGTTACCCATCCCAGCCCGATCACACTGAAAAGACTACAATGTGGGATATTGGAAAGATCGGAGAAAAGACTGGTATTATCCTGACAGACTCTCTGGCAATGGACCCTCCTTCAAGTGTAAGTGGTCTGTACTTTGGACACGAGAAGAGTAGTTACTTTGCAGTTGGAAAGATTGAGAAGGACCAAATCACGGATTATGCTGCCCGTAAAAAGATGGACGTTAAAGCAGTCGAGAAATGGTTGGGTACAATCCTTGCCTATGACCCTTAAACATCACACAAATTATTTTAATCACCTCGGTACCCTTGTGTCATTTTAAATGGAATCCATGCTCTATTAAATAGATTCTACGTCCATTGAATCATTCTTTTTTTTTCAGTTTGGGTTAGAACATTGTTATCCTTTGTAGACCCTAATCCCACATTTTCTCACATAATATATAAATATAAATACTATCTCTTTTACAAACCACATACAAGCCTCTCTTCTATTCCATATCGACTATGCGCTTTAAGCCTTTATGCGAGAAATATCAAGCATGTTTTTTTTTCCTTAAAAAGAAAAGAAAGAATACTGCTTTGTTAGCATATGTAAGGGTGATCAAGGCAACATTGATTGATGAGATTTTGGAAGCCCTAATTTACTTTTAACTAGAATTATGATTTATTTACTTTGTGGAATTGTTGGCATTAAATTACTACAAGACATATATTTATAATACTATCAAAACTTACGATCCTCTAACTGCTAAGGTATCAGACGGGTTTCGCTACAACTCGGAATGCTTACATGTGATATCAATTGCGAACAAAACACAGCGCAAATTATGGGACAATTTAAATAATGATCCTTTACTTCCAATATTCTTTATAGTGCATAATAAAGATTATATTTTAAAAAAATAGATGCTAAAGAAATGTAATATCATACAAAGAACTATTAATGAAAGACACCAAGGCACATCTTCAAAGGTCAATTCTCTGTGAAATACATAGTATTTAGGCGGCACTTTAACGAACTCCCAGGACCCAAGAAGTAAGGCCCCATGTAAGATCTAATATTGGTTACTTTAAATAAAGGATCTTTTTCGTTCAATTTTTGTTGTGTTTTTTGAATGAATTTGATGTGTAGAAAAAATTGCCAGAAACTTAATAGATTAAGATTTAATTAGTGTGAAGGAAAACAAACTCCTAGCCCATAAAACTCATTTGAGACTAATATACATTCACATAATATAATGATCCAAGGATTGTCAGCCAGAATTACAAATAAACTCTGTGCATAAATGTAAGAAGTCTACAAAGTACCAGTAAAAATAAAAAAAGAGAAATGCGATAAAAAATATTTGATAATTTTGATCGGTTTTGTATTTCCCAACACAGTAGATCAAAAAGAAGGACATCTACAATTTATTTTTTCACCAAGAAAAATCAAAAATACCCCTTTATTTTATGTATGTAGTCATATAATACCTCTTTGATTCAATGAAGTTTGTTTACAGTCTTAATAGTTCCTACATCAGTGTTTGAAATTTAGTCTTATATATATACTTTTATAGAATCCCAACAATTTTCACACACTCACTTTATATGACTTATTTGACGCAAGAGATTTTGTATGACGTCAAAAGTTTGTATGCAATATGTGTTGAGAAAAGAAGAAAAAAAGAAAAAAAAACCCCGCGCGGCCTTTTAAACAAATAGGTTTTGAAGTTGGATTAAAGATATAACGCGTTTTAGATACTTTCTTTACTCTCTTTTACTTTCTTCTTTTACTTTATTAATTTCTCAATCATGCCCGGAGGAGGACAAATGCCCACAACCCCAGAGGTTCCCAAGCAAAAGGCTTGCTTGATCTGCATTGACGGATGGGGTGTGTCTACTGAAGAAAGCCCTCGTGGCGATGCTATTCGCAATGCCAACACCCCAGTTATGGATAAATTGGAGAAGGAATACCCATTCACTACTATCAGTGCTCATGGTTTGGACGTTGGATTACCTGCTGGATTGATGGGTAACTCAGAGGTCGGTCATCTCAATATTGGCGCGGGTCGCGTAGTGTACCAGGTAAGAGAAAACGAATGGGACGAACACCAAAAAGGAATAAGGTTTTTTTTGTGTCCATGCCAAACCCATACTAATTTAGTATGCTGTAATTGATAAAAGGATATCGTCCGTATCGATCTTGCAATGAGCCAAAACGAGTTCGGCAAGGTTGAAAACATTAAGGGTGCCTTTGAACATGCAAAGGCTGGTAACGGTCGCCTTCATTTCCTCGGACTTGTGTCTGATGGTGGTGTACATGCCCACATTGACCATCTTATTGCCTTATTGAAGGCTGCTAAGGAAGCCGAAGTTCCCGAAGTTTACATCCACTTCTTTGGTGATGGTCGTGATACCTCTCCCAAGTCTGCTTACAAATATATGCAGCAGCTCGTTGATGCCACAAAGGAGCTTGACTATGGAACCATTGCCACCGTCGTAGGTCGCTATTATGCCATGGACCGTGATAAGCGTTGGGAGCGTGTTCAAATTGCATTCGAGGCTCTGACCGAGGGCAAGGGTACCAAGGCTGATGACCCAGTCAAGGCTATCGAAGAGCGTTATGAGGCTGGTGAAACTGATGAGTTCCTCAAGCCTATCATCTTATCTGAGGAAGGCCGTATCCGTGACAACGACACTCTCTTCTTCTTCAACTTCCGTTCTGACCGTGCTCGCGAACTTTCTCAGTCATTTGGAATTTCTCCCTGTCCTTTCGACTCAAAGGTCCCCGAGAACTTGGATATCTATACCATGACTCAGTACAAGAGCGATTTTCCTTTCAAGATCGCCTTCCCTGCCCAGACCATGGACAACGTACTGGCCGAGTGGTTGGCTAAAAACAAGATTCCCCAGGTTCACATCGCTGAAACCGAAAAGTATGCCCATGTTACCTTCTTTTTCAACGGAGGTACTGAGGCTCAGTTTGACCTCGAAGACCGTGGTTTGGTGTCTTCTCCCAAGGTTGCCACCTACGACTTGCAGCCCGAGATGAGTGCCCAAGGTGTGGCTGATAAGGTGGCTGATGCCATTGGCTCAGATAAGTATCCATTTGTGATGTGCAACTTTGCTCCTCCTGATATGGTTGGTCACACTGGTATCTATGAAGCTGCTATCAAGGCTGTTGAGGCTACCGATGCTGCTATTGGCACAATCTATGATGCCTGCAAGAAGCACGGCTACATTTTGTTTGTCACTGCTGATCATGGAAATGCCGAGAAGATGCTCTCAGACGACTTCAAGACTCCCCACACTGCCCACACATGCTCTCCTGTTCCTTTTGTCATGGCTTCCCATGAGTTCAAGTATGTTGAGAACCCCAAGGGCAAGTTGGCTGATGTTGCTCCCACTATTCTTCGTGTAATGGGCCTTGATGTTCCTAAGGAGATGACCGGCCACAGTCTTTTGGATGAGAACTAGATTTAATACATTGTAAAGACTTGTAAATTAATATAATAATAAAAACAAAGAATAAGAAGCTCTTTCATCGCTTATCGAGATTATGGTTAACAAGGCAGCAACGGGGTTGGATGTGACTCCCCACATTGTGATGCTTTTTTAATACCCGACTTACCATAGCAGGCCTTGTTTGATTTTATTTTTAAAAACCAGACCCATTTCACGTCTGGCTCTCTCCCTTTTGTTTCCGCTTTTTTCTTGTTCTTGTCCTTGCTCTTCCTCTTTTTATACACACACACATACATATATTATCTTTCTCTTAAAAATCAGTCTTGAGTTCTCTACTCCATTGACCTACTCGTTAAATTAATTCTCAGAATATTTACGGAGTATGCTGATTTCATACGCTTGGATATTCATTACTGGCATCATTGTCTTTTTTATTGTCATCGTCATACTCTTATGCTTCACTCGGTCGGCCATCGAATTGCCCATTGGAGGAAGCGATGCCGAGATTGACGAATGGCCAGTGGAGTCAGAAGATATGGTAGCCACCTTACCTGAAGACGCTCGTATAAGCTTTGGACTTGCAAGAAGTAAGCACAAAAGAAAGAAAGAATATAAACAATAACAATAAAAAATATCAAATCGAAACCGAAAATATCTATATATATGTGTGTGTGTGTGTAGAAAATAAACTTACGTATGTCATTTAAACAACACAAATATATATATATATATATATATAAATTATTAGCTTGGCAAGAACACCACCCACCAGATAGCATTCCAACCGACATTACTCCACCACAATACCTTTCAATTCAAGAGAAAGGAGTCTCTGCATTCGAGTTTGAATGGGAGCCAGATACCAGCTGCTTTGTAGCTGGTCGAACTGAAGTTCAATTCGTTCACGGAGAGTGCTGTGTACAGACTAACTTACCGCTACCCAAACAACAAGATGTTTATTATTGGGAAGCAAAGATGTTTGAAAAACCCGATACAACTACTGTGTCTGTAGGTGTGGCTACAAAGCCATTCCCTAGTTGGCGACTGCCAGGTATACTTAAATAACACATCCTTCCCTTTATCTGGCTGCGCTGATTGTGGAATGAATAAAACAATAACACATATACACACAAATAGGTTGGAATCGCTATTCCGTTGGTTATTTTTCTAGTAATGGTTGTAAATACTTTAGTTCCCCATTCAACGGCAAACCATACGGATTTCCTTTCAATCATGGTGATGTCGTGGGGGTCGGTTACAGACCTCGGACTGGAACTATCTTCTTTACCCGCAATGGCCGTCGTCTGGAAGATGCTTACACCGGCCTTCGTTGGAACTTATTCCCTACAATTGGTGCAAACGGACCTTGTCAGGTGCACGTCAACTTGGGTCAGATGGGCTTTGTGTTTGTAGAAGCCAATGTAAAGAAGTGGGGACTGGCACCATCCCAAGGCACACGCGCACCTCCGCCAGCCTACGGTGCTGAGCGTGGATCGGTTTTGCTGGCATCAGGCCAGCAACAACAGCACCAACAATCAGCACAACAATCACAAACAGAAGAACAAGCGGTCTTGATACCCATGGAAGACCCCACTCATCAGCCCCCACCCTATGCATCCCCCTCCTCTCAAACAGATCCATAAATATTCTTTCCATTATAATATACAGTAGATCCTCACTACATAACATCAATTCAGTAATATTAAATCTCTCAATCAATTATAAACTTGTGTGTCTGTGTGCGTATGTGTGACTGGTAGACAAAAGGCCCAAAAGGGAAAAGAACACGTATGTCTAGAAAGTCATCACTGTACTTTTCCTAATGACTGACCTTAACAACAGCGAAGGTACACACACACAGATATATATATATACATACACTTGTGTATACATGTGTAAATACACCTATACCAATCTTCATTTGATTAAAGTATCTTTTTAGCTGTGCAAATCAACAAGAATGACTCTGTTCAAGCCAAGAATGCACTCGATGACGAGATTTCTAAAGTAAAATCATTTGGTATCATCTTATTGGATGTTCATCCCTTTTATAATTATTTAGTACTTTGGAGAGAGTCTTTTCAAGGAACTTCATACACACACAGATGTAAAACTGGTGTTAGGATACTTGTCATGTGCAATTGCAGGTGGTGCCTTTCTCTATGAGTACAAGACTAGTTTCCAAGAGGCTCAGTCAGTTACCTTATTGTGTGTCATCGCATTTTGGGTACTTCAATTTGGTATCTCGATCTACAGTGCCACTGTCGAGAAGGGAGTTGTATTTTCTGGCAAAAATGAAAAGGTAATTGAAAGATAGGTAGATAAAAAAAATATGTGGTATCTACAGCAATGTATGTCCATATATGTATATATGCATTTATGTTTTACTGGATACAAAAGTAATAATAATAACTCATAAATTCAATAACGGTCATCTCTGTGTAAAGGGAACTATCTTGGTAAAAACAACAATGGAGCCCTATTCGCCTATATATAAGCTTGAGTTGGTCTACAAGGAAACCAATCCTCCCAAAACAGTGACCTACACCCTTAGTAAGAGTATCGCTAGTTGGATCACTACCAAAGGCATCGTTGATCAAGTCAGATTTCATGAAGATCTCCAGCACAGTTTTGACAAGGCCCTTAGTTCTCTTCATAGGGAATAAAAGATTGGAAATATTGATCGAAAATTTATTATAATAATACCAATATAGAATTATAAGAGAAAACAGTCAGTAAAGTCTGTCAATCAATCAATCAGTCTTCTTCTTCTTTTGATTATATTATGAATCGCAAACGTTTACCAAAGAACCAAATATCTGAAACAGTCGATCTTACATCTGATGACGATGAACGATCAAACACATTACCATTACCAAAACGTCGCCGAGAAGATCCTCTCGAAACTGGATTAAGTGGGGATGTCGATCAATTAATGATTTCATCCTCAAGTGACGAGTCATGTCCAGCGCCATGGTTAAGAGACATGCGCAAGGCTCTTACCCAAGTCTTTCGTCTTAATTCCTTCCGAACTCATCAACAGCAAATAATTTCTTCAGCTATTCAAGGCAAAGATGTGTTTGTGCTAATGCCAACTGGAGGAGGCAAAAGCTTATGCTATCAATTACCAGCCATCTTACAGAATCATGCACCAGGTGTCAGTATTGTTGTTTCCCCACTCTTGTCTCTCATGCAAGATCAAGTTCATGATCTCGTGTGTGTTAAAGGCATTGCTGCTGCACTGTTGAATAGTCAAATGGGGGCTGCTCATCGTCGCTGGGTATATAGTGAACTCAAAAAACCATCCTCTTTGATGTGCCTGCTGTATGTAACACCAGAAATGCTGGAAAAATCAAAGGAACTTGTCGAAGCTCTCAGTTGTTTGTATGATCAAGACCGCTTAACCCGTTTTGTAATTGATGAAGCACACTGTGTTTCCCAGTGGGGTCATGATTTTCGACCAGATTACAAGCTACTTGGGAATGTTCGTAACCGGTTCTCGGGAGTTCCAATAATGGCCCTGACAGCTACTGCTACACCTACTGTTGAAGCGGATGTCTTACGCTGTCTAGGAATGCAAGAGTGTAAGGTATTCAGACAGAGCTTCAACCGAAAGAATTTGAGGTATGGTATAAACCAAATATTAAATCAATCGTAACTAGGATTACTCATAAGGTTGAAATATAATTTTAGCTTGGAGGTGGTAACCAAAACACCGCGGTCAATGGCTGACGATATTTATCAATTTATCGACGATGGACGTAGAAATCATAGTGGGATTATTTACTGTATCGGACGTCAGCAATGCGAGTCGCTTGCAGAAGAGCTACGAGAAGCTTTTGGCTTGACTGCAGAGCATTATCATGCAAAATTGACACCAGACATGCGTAATAATGTTCAGCGAGAGTGGAAGGAAGGAAGGATCCGGATTATTGTGGCTACAATTGCATTCGGTATGGGTATAGACAAGCCCGATGTACGTTATGTTATACATGCATCTATCCCTAGCTCCCTTGAAGGCTACTACCAGGAAATCGGTCGTGCTGGTCGAGATGGTCAACCTGCTGTTTGTCGGCTATATTATACTTATCGTGATGCAAGTGTTCATCGTGGGCAAATTGATCGTGGTGGAGGAAATTCGACACAAAAGGAACGCCTAAACACCAACCTTAATGCTATGATAGCTTATTGCGAAAACGTCATTGATTGTCGTCGTTTCCTAGTTCTGAAATACTTTGGCGAGACATTTGATGCTAGTGGGTGTAATCAGACTTGCGACAACTGCCTTGGCGCAATGAACCAGACTAATATTACTAAGGATATGACCAGTCTGGCAATTGAAACTATTCGCCTTGTCCGATCTGTACAAAGTGCCGGCGTTACTTTGTTGCAGGTACTTGATATGCTGAGAGGTTCGCAATCCAAAAGGTTTGTGGATAATGGTTTTTTGGAGGCGACTTCATATGGTGCAGGCAAGCATCTTTCGCGGCCTGATGCGGAAAGATTTATGAAGCATCTTGTAATAATGGGAATTTTGGTCGAAAAAACCGAGTACAACAATATGGGATTCTCTTCCGCCTACCTTAAGGTAAGAACTCCTTGAAAATATTCTTATATTGTTAGAAAAACTATTAAATACCTTTTGGAATTATTTTAGGTTGGAAAAAAAGCATTAGATGTCGAACGAGAAGCTCTTAAGGTGAATTTGAGCTTCTCTAGTACAAATGTAACACCTTCATCATCCAGCTCTTTAAGATCTGCTGAAACTTCCGGAGAACCCAAGCGACGTACGAAAGTAGTACTGCCTGGATTTGTTACCGCGTTATCTCTCACCAACAAAGACCAACCTAATACCAGGTCTACAGCAAAATCCGGTAGTACTTCAAATGCTACTGGGTTTACAAGACCTGTAGTCACACCCAAAAAAGGGAAAATTACCAATTTTATTTCACCACTGAACACTCGCAACTAATGTTTTAATAAAATCTAATTTGCTTTATTTACATAAATAACATAATACTTATATAAATTTTACCTTGGTATAATTCATAAAAGTATTGACCAGTTTAACAGAACGTCTCGTAAAAGTATGTGTTTTTTAAGTTATATTTTGCTTATCACAATCAGTCGGTTATTGTGTGTAAATAGTAAAGGCCCTAATACATCCCATGGATTTTATAGGCGTCTTATAATTTTAACGGTGCGTATTTAAAAATCAAGCTACATTAGAATAATTCGAATTCAATAAAGCTTGTCATAATGCCTTTTCATTAACATTACAAGTATTTTATAAGCCAAACCAAACTAGATTTTATACAAATTCTTAACGAGTTTCAAAAAAGATTCATGAAATACTATTTTTAATGGTTTATTATGAGTTTGGTTTGTGTAAGCTACGTAAAAATAAAATCATGCCAAAGCATATTTTAGCTTGCATTACGACTAATATTATATTTGAATTATGGATGATTTTTATTTTCGGTTGAGCCAATATTAAGTTCCTGGCTCATTACTTGGAGCATAACTTGGTTGCACATCTTGGCATATGGGTTATCCTGAATCGTGATGTTGCGAGCAACTGAGTTTCCATACTTTGCTCCTATAATAATCTTGTCAACATATATGCTCTTCTAAAAAACATCTACTTCAAAGTACTTACCTATCGCAAAATCCTCCTTTGATCCCAAGATATCTCCATTCTGACGTTTAATAATAGCGCGCTGCGTGTAAGCCTAAACATTTAAGAGATAAAATGAAAATGAGTCGTTATGAATAGATTTTCTAGTCGTTAATACCTGTTTCAGTATCTTAGGCTGTCCTTCTGCCAGTGAAATTACTTTGTTGAGATCATGTAGAGCCTCATCGTTTTTGTGAACCATACGGTATAATTGTGCCCTTTATTTGGTTCAGTCGTTTTTCATGACGGTTATGTGTGTGTTTGTGTGTGTACCTGTTATTATAAGCCGACCCATAGGTTGGTTCCATCTCAATACACCGATTCAGTAATTCAAGTGCACCACCTGTTTCATTTTTCTCGGCTAATTTGATTGCATCCTTTTCGAGGTGCTTTAATTCTTCAAGTCGCCCAGGGCTTAGGGTACATACTACCACCAAAGTATATAGCATTTTTTCTTTAAACACCTCGTTTGTCTTGTGATATCTTGACCTTTTCTCTTCTTTACCTGAAGTGTTGGTTATTGATTGATTGATTGAATCCAAAGGAAGTCCTTGGACATCTGTGGTGAAAAGTTAGCATTGGATATATGTTTAAGACATCGATCGCACTTGCCTGGATTAAATATAAGCTCAAGGACAGCATCATCCGAAATAGACATATTGTGTTGCTTATTAAGACAGTTAATAATAAAAGGGTAGAAAGCGAAAGAAAGGTGTGGTGTACAATGATCGTGAGAAAATAAAAATGCTCATTGAACGCTCTTTGCATACATAACCAAACCCCGCCGTTAAGCAGACACAAAAGAAAAATGCGGATTTTTGTTAATCACCTTCCATAGTTAGAATCCATGGAAGGGTACATTTGAGTAAAGCTGACGATTACTATTATGTGATTTAATACAATTTGCTTTCCCTAAATATAATTAAGACAATTATAGAATATTACTTATTATGTAGATTACTGTGTGTATACTTTCAATTTTAGGTATAATGGTTAAGGTTAAAAACAACTCCTTGTTATGATGGAAATATGTTTGTAAAGGTTATTTAGCATGGTATACAATAGAATTTGGGGTGCAGAAGCAATAATGACATTCTCAGTGTATGCTCAATATTAGAAAAAGCTTTATATAAGTCTGTTCCAAAGAATGTCTTTCCCATTGATAGTTATCTTTAGATCCATTGACAAATGCTATTCACATAATGTGGGAAGTCATAGTGTAACATTGACTGCATACACCAAGGATTGTTATAAATATCTTTACAGTTTGAGATGCTTTATACCCAGAATTACCGAAGCTTGTGTCTCTTGACACTGTTTACTAAATACAAATGGAAGATGTACTTATTTCAAAGCCGAAATATATTTCTATGTCTTTTAATAGTTTAAATTATATACAATCCGGGTTTAATTAGCTTCACTCTTTTTTCTCATATTTTTAGAAACACTAATATATGGTGGCTGTAGTCTACATTAATCTAATGCAGGATTCATATATATGTATAATAAACGCTTTATTAAAAGCATGATGACTTACTATCCAAAATTAATGGTGTAAATAAAATTCTCATCCATGTGAGCTTAATATATATATGTAATATAATTCTGGGTAAAGGTTCAGGTCAATTAGGAACACCTTTTCTAAAAACAGTGGATATATGTTTAGATATTATTATTATTATTATTATTATTATTATGTTGCTCTGTATATTTTATGCCTAGCTTTTATCCTGTACTCCGTGATACTTATCGCATTCGTAAGACTATTGAAATAATAACTGTCCAAAGATCCCGACTACAGCATGTTAAAATACCACGTTGTACACTAGATCACTAAGATATCATACTTATCGTTCAAGATAAACAAGATAGGCATCTCTATTAGTCATTCTAATACAATAGAGTTTTTATTTGCGTTATACTGTTATCATTGTTTATAAGTGTATTTACCCAATTTATTATGTTCATTTGCTGAAGCTTCGTTTACATTATTAAGATGTTTGTTTTTTTATTTAATATTAGTGTACATTTTTCAGCAAACAACAACTTCTTTCACATCAATTACTATACAGAATCCTTTACTGATTTATCTTTAGTTAAAAGTTACTTAAAAAACTCTATATTATTTAGATGTTTTAACTGGTAATAAATCAGATTGAAATTCTGCTTATCAAATAACGTATTCGATTGGCTCGATTTTTTTAATACAATTAAATATATACTTTCCCACTTTTCTCGAACATCTCAATCATTTTTTGTCAGCCACAACATTCTCACATGGATAATATTGCCCAGTGTATTTGGCAAAGTTGAGTAGAAACAGGAGAAATGAACTTATCGTCTCAATGGTTTAGTAAATCAATTATAAATTTTATTCGTATATTTTATTGAACTTTAGACACTCTATCCAACAGGGTAGCCAAAAATGGTGGCAAAAATGACTAGGACAATTCCAAGAAAGGCTGATATGATAAGCAACAGAAATGTAAATAAATTGAGACCCCTGTGGGACCGAAAATTGACAAAGCTAGCCGGATTATAATAATTAATATACACAATAGTCTCAAAGAAAGAATACACGATCCAAAGTAGAACGAACCACCTTGAGGATTCCTCTTCATCATATTTGGCCCAGTACCCCAGTAGTAAGGGAACAGCTACAGTCGACACCAGTACAATCAATTCCCAAATCCCACCTGGCTGTATAGATATGTCTACTCGTTTTGTATCTTTGTCTTGAAACAGTCTTTCTAAGACTTGAGGTGTTATTCCACTCTTTTGAGTGACATCGTAAGCAAAGTCAATCCTTCTAAAGGACATTGAATTTGGATCTTGAAAACAAAAGTTCCAATATTTCATTATCGAGCTTCTATAAGTAAATTTTGGGATCGATCGACTGTCCGGATATGCTTCCTCGTTATTACAATGGATGCTAAATGCTGCCACCTGCGAATGCAATGCCAACATTGACAGAGTTTGAAGTATAGACATAATCAGAAAAACTAGCATGATTATTTTCGACCATCTTTCGCCGCGTCCTCGAATGCATTCATAGACTATATACAGAATCTGGATAGCAGAGATAAATACTTCTGTAAGTGAAGTGCTATCAATATTTGATGCACCTTGGAGCTGCTCAAGCATATCTATCGGCAAATATCGTACGAGTGATGGACATACAGGCACTTGATATTTGCACATGGACCCTGACCCAGTAACTGTCATGTCTTTAGATGTGTATTTACATCTTGGTTCAGAGCGCACATTGCTAAAATCGTTATATCCAATAAAAAGGTTGTCGTTTAAAAGACAATGTTTTACTTTCTTTGCTTTATCTAGGCCAAGATGATGTAAAAGCGCCGCAAGGTATGGTGCATTGTCATTTTCTCTGCTGTCAAACTCTCGTAAAGCCTCTTCGTATTCTTCAGCCCAGTTTTTTATTTGAATGTCATAAGGTTGAGCTGTGTTTGTGTTCGTGTTGGAGCTTGCGAGTGTTCCTGTTCCTGTGTAATTTTCATCTGATGAGATTTCCCGGAGAAGTATTCTATTGGAATCTGATATGTCCGCTACTACTTCAGCACTAGTAGATTCTTCTGCATGGGATACATTTGACTTTGTTTTTTTGTACTTTTTATACCATTTGTTAAATACATCGATTCCGAGAATCTTATCTGCACTGAAAGACTTTACTATCGAGCCCATAGCGTCATATATACCACTTGTGGGGAATCCTAGCGCATTCATTCTCTTGAACGAGGTAGAAAGTGACATTGTGCTTGGATCAGGGCGAACAGTCTTTGCGTGTGCCAGATAACCAAGAATCACAGTTTTAAGAATGGAATAAGCAGCGATTTCTTCATCTGATACAGATTCTGTTGCTGACAGTGGTGCAGCAGAACACCCAAGAAGTACCAAGCATAATAATAATTCAATGATAGGTATAACGCTGTGTTGAAGTTTAGCAGAGACCCAAGACATGGCATTAAGGCAAAAATACTATAAGAAAAAGAGGCAGATTGTTATTTTTTAATGTTATTTAAATGTATATATCCCCAGTTTAACCTGGGGAATAAATTTCTACAAACTTGGAAATTGTGTACAAGTGCATGTTGGTCTGTACCAAGTTACACATATTAAGCCTGACATGTTTTATCTCAGAATTCTACAGTTTTTTTAGTAGTAAGTATATAAAAGAATTATACACTTTTTGATTTCGGCTTATATATCTGTGTATTTTATTTGAACAAAAAATACATAATTAAAAGTGATTACTACATCAAAGAAACAAATCAGATAGTAACTGCAGAATACATACAGCAAAAGAATGGAACTCATAAAGTTTTCTAGTAAATCTAAATTTTAAGCCTAAAAAGTATCAATCTGATAAATAAAATGACCTTTCACTGCGATGAAAAATAAGGATTTTAGTTGAAGATTTTGTAAGTTTTTTTTGTGGGGTTAAGGATCAAGGACGTACCTGAAGTTCAAGATAGCGACACGCTCTCTAATCCACGAATAATTCTTAAAAAATTGACGAAGTTATGTTCTCTAAGAAAAAAAGCTGGGTTGGTAGGTCTTGAATGATTTATAAGAATATTAACAGTTAAACATTGATCCCCGGTTGTAATATTACTTTAGGAGCTCATGTTATATTACAGCTGGTATTTGAGAGCAGCGAGGTAAGCAAGGGCTGGGAACTTGCTTTAGTTTTACAAAATATAGCTAAAAACATGAAGAATGGTGATTGGACATGTCAAACGTATAGATAAAATAAACATCAAACCCACTTTTTCAGAATAGTCTTCCCATTTCTACGCCTTTTTTTTGTTAGAGATGTATTGATAACATCTTAGTCTAGCCGCAGAAGAGTGCTCATAAATGCAGTATGGAAGTTATTTTTGTTCATAATTAACAAATATCCAAAGGTCACAAATTATGTCGTGTTTTTCAAATAAAAAGTCATAAACTTAAGCAATTTTCTCCAAGTCAGGGATGCAGACTCTTCTGGATGTGGACTATTGGAGAGTGCTGTGCTTCTGGTTTGAGATAAAAATACCAAAGCCGTACGTTTTTGCTTATCCCTCTGAATCTCATAACACTGTTTTTGGTAGCAAAAAGGTTTTTGTTATCGAAGCCAGTTGTTGTTCCTCATAAGGCTACTTTTTTCGAGAATGATTTCTAATAGCTTCCCCGAGATATGTTGGCCCACAATTCGAGTATCAATATATATATATATAGCATAGAAACCAGAATCAGTAAAGATGAAAAGAGTGAAAAGGTTAATGTCCATAATATTCTAGGACTTGAAAAATATGAAAGGGAATGCTTTATATAACTAAAGAAGACAGGAGTTGTATGGTAAGTACAGTAGAATAGTGTATCTGATATAAGAGCATATGATAGATTAGAGTATCGATAGCCTATTATTTTTTTATTGTACATTACAGCTCTATGTTGTGTTATCCGATATAGGCAGTTACTTATAAGATATAGGGAAGTGTATTTTTTTCATAAAAGTAAAAGGTCAAAAAAATTAACTATGCAGAATATTGCTTACAATTTCTAAAATTTCCTTTTTATAGTGTAGTTAAGAGCCATCAATATGTATACTTAAAAAAAAAGAGTAAACTTATTATTTATAAATTAATGTAACATATCCTCTGTGAAGATCGTTTGACCAGTACCAACTGTCAACTAATCCATAATCATTGCACAAAATACTTGGGTGGGGTAATTGTCCTCTACTTTTGTGTCGATAAGCCATAAAGTATTGCTTGGCATATTCAACCTCTTCCTTCGAAAGTGCTTGAAGCACAACTACCTCAGATGCAGTTTTCGGGGGATTGAAGCAATGGAACCATAATGTATCCCCAGAAGTGTATTTGGATGTGTATCCAGATAGCATGCCTTTTGATAAGTTGTCATTGTTTTGTATCCTTGCACAACTTGTCTGTTCGATAGAAATTATATTAATCTTTAAATTTCTATGGCGATATTCATCAAGATTCGTGTCTTCCATAGAATAAAATACAACCTGATCTATTTCCAAGTCTTTGAAACAAGTGTTTGACATATCAAGACATAGATTTCCAGTGTCTTGAGAAATAAGTCCAAGCACCGTTAATTTGCTTAAGCGCATGTGAGCAAGATTTGCGCATCTGAGCGAAAGATGATTAAATACACAGGACTTTACTTTGGATTTTGCGAGCTCAATTTGCTCCAAGAAGTGTGAAGTATTATTATCTGAAACCACAGAGCTGAGCAATATAGTGTCGGCTGAAATACTAAGCTTCTTTAGGACTGGGCAATTGTTCAATATATCGTCTAATTCGATGATACTGTATTTTGCTTTGACGGAAAGATCAATTAAACGTCTATATGAAATAGGTACAGCCTGGAATATACGGGGTATCTGCGCAGAATTGGGTTTATGCATTACTGCTTTAATATGGAAAGTTTCTAAGCTCTTTGAACATGCTTCAGAGCATTCCCTAATAATCCTTGCTGCTGTGAATGGTAAAAAGTCGTCTATTCCAATTGTAAGTCCAAGACGCTTAAGAGGGAAGCTAAGCTCTTCAAAAATTTGCCAAAGTGTTACACCTCTCCATGCCACCGCTGGATTTTCACCCAAGCTAAAGTTTTCTAAGCGTGGAAAGAAATAAGGTAGCTCTAAGAACGCACTAATTTTACCAAGTAAAATGTTATTTGTAGGTTCCAGATAAGTTGAGTGAGCTTCTGATGAGTCTTTTCCTACTGATTTACTATCTCTCCATTGGAATGTGTGTATATTCTTGTATTTAATGGCGCAATAGAAAAACCATTCAAGAGACATATTTTCAATGTCAAACTTTACAGTGTTTAATGAGGTCGCTGGAAGAACTGCTTTTATTTGAACCATATCAGTTTCTGGGATACGGAACATTTGAGATTGCAAATTTAGGTACTCTAGGTTAGGTAGGACAGAATGAATTGCTTCCAGTGTTTTCCACCCGATTGATGAAGTTGATCCAGGTGATTTGTTTTTGATCACCAGAGTTTGAAGAAGGGGCAGGCCGTTTAACATACGCTGAAGTTCCTGAAAGTTGTCTTCGTTGGGGCAATGTGGAATACATGTTGTCAGGTGTCTTAAAGATTCCCACAAACTCCAGTCCGAACGCTTTGTTAAGTGGGTTCGATACCACAATCCTTTTTCGATCTTTAGGATCTTTAAGTCTGGAAAATACTTTTGTAGTTTGTCAATCGTGATGTCACTCAAACTGTCTCGTGAACCAAGGTCCAAGACCTGTACATAAGAGCCAGTGTGTAGATACATCTCTGGGTTTTCGACAAGCTTTTGTAGAAGAATATTGAGCTCTACGTCCCTAAGGATGGATATTTTCTCCCATAGAGAAGCTTGGAACGGCATAGACCATGCTTTACAGACATATGCACAGATAGATGCTTCTTTTCTTGTAGTAAAAGAAGCAATTTTTTTCAATATTTCGAATGGAATCTTGATCGACATTTAAAGGAGAAAAAGAAATAGAGAATACACACTAATGATTATGGCTTTGGCTTTATTAATTTATTATAGCCACAATGACATCTTGTACAAAGTATATATTTTTTTTAGAAAAAAGTGTTGTCTCGGTCTATTTTCTTTGTTTTTCTTATTTCTTATATTCATCACTCATTCTTGTAAATTTCTTTCATTTATTTACACCTTGTGTTAAACAAGGATATTTTTTATATTCTTTTTCTGTTATAATTATTAAAAGGGATCATTTTCGCAAGCAACATACTTCATTTTCTTCTTTTTTCTGTTATTGTATTGTGCTTTGTATGCATTAGTAGGCCAAACATAGCTTAAATAATAATTGCTGTCATGTCACTCTATCTGTAAGATCAATTGATGGGACAAATTATTTCTTGGTGTAATTGAATACAAGAACAGTCTGTTGGTTTGCCATTCGACAGCCGAAATTATATGAAGCATTTTAATGGTTTAAATCTCATGTTACCTTACTTTTTCTTCTTCTTTCAAAATATCTCAAACACCAGCGCGTCGTACTGAAAAAAAAAGAGTGTCAAAGAAAAACGTCTTTTTAATGTTCAGAATATTGAAACAAGATTTTATTTTTGGAAATGTATTTAACGTGGTTGAACAAAAGATATATTTTAAACTCATGAATTTTTCAATTTGTTTCACTTTTGGTACTCCTGCTATGGGGCGGTAATTCTGGTTGGCGGTCTTTCGGCAGAACATATGGCTTGTCAATCTTTAAGTAAATCAATTTCGTAGCGTATTTATATATCCAAGATTATTTTCAAATATTTGTAGGTTATTGTAGAACACTTTATTTAAAGTTGCTCATACTAATTATTGATATATGTATTCGTATATTACACTATAAAATAAAGACTTATTGGGTACAAAAACTAAAGCATAGGTCATTTGATATATATATATATATATATAATATCTTATTTCATATATACTCTTGTTTTTATAATATTCGTCAAAACCAGTAAATAGTTGTTGACTTGTATTTCCGATATATTTTTGGGGCTTTCTCAAATAATGAGCAAACCAACCAAGTTATTTCTCACAAGAAATAAAGTTTTGGTACACCGAGTGATTGATAATACAGTCTCTTTTATATATATATCAATTACCAAAATATTGGTGCTTATCAGCAGCTTTACTGGTCGATGTATTGTAAGAAAATCCCAGAATTTAAAATAACAGTCTTTTAGCTATGAAGATATGCTAGTGACAGTAGGATACACCAAGCAGCCAAAAGGATTGTTGCGATATTGTGTCATGTTCAAGCCATTCTATTTTTGATTAATATTTAAGTAGACTTCTTATAATACCGTTGGATGCGATTGGTAAATGTCTTGTGTAATTAAGTGAAGTAAAATATAATACAGACCAATAGAAACTTATGTAGCTTATTATATATAATATCTGCTTTTACTGCTAATTATTAGAAATAAATATGTAATATGTTTGTAAGAATGTGATCTGATGGAATCTGTATAACCTGTAAGCCATGATCCGTGGCTGGAAAAAGACAAAAATAGTACACTTCTTTTCTATTATTGGGTCGCGGTCTTTGGAAATGTAATTTTTGCTTCGATTAAAAAAGTGATAACAACGGATGTATAGTAGCCGTTAAGATAGTAATTTTAGTATCCTTTGCTAATGAATAAGGATTGTATCTCAAGTAAAGAATCAGACCGTTTTCATCCATATTTTGTCATATTGAGGTAAAGAAAATATACTATTATTAAAACCACATAATTACACCCGTATGTTAAATAATATTCGAAGGCGTAATTTTGCTTTGTATGTGTTAACTATAACTGTGTATTTTAAGCAGGGTAAACTTTTTTTTTCTAGTTAAACAAACCCTTTGTTTTTATAATCAGCTTGATGGTAAAATTTATTTCCACCAGTCTCAATAGTTTTCTCGCTTGAAATCAATATACTTTATATGGGCCAAATATGTTCTGATAATTTAGTAGTTATGATGTGTCCGAGATCTATTCATAAACAGCACCTACACAGTTTTCACTGCTGTAATCACTTTTTTTGTATAGTCCTAGATATTTATTTTATTTTATTTTTCTATGTTTAGAAGAGCTAAAAATAATATTATTAGAATTAAGGAAGCCTCAAAGCTTTTACTCAACAGTAAAGAAGTACATTTTATGGTCGACAGAAAAATTGTGTTTTCAAAGGTTATATTAAGGTAATCCCAAAAATAAGAGCTGAGACTCTCTTGAATAATTATATAAAATTGTCTTTTTTTTTACCAGCCTTTATATCTCTTTATTTATATACTTCGTTTCTGGTCGAAACAAAAGAATACACAAAGTCGTTGTAACCAAGCGGTATGAATAACCTAATGAAGTATAGGCTGACCAGCTTTTTAAAGCTTTTCTTTGAAGAGCATACTTATAACTGGTTACTCACAGAAACAAAATGATAGAGTCACATTGTAAGACTGGGTTTGAAGTATATCGGAAAATATAGCATAGGATTTAAGGTTAACCATGGCAACGAGGGCAACGATGATGGCCTTTTGACATTGCCGGTGCAAATTTCTTTTTTTAAGAAAAAGAAAAGAAAAAGAAAAGAAAAGAACTAGGCTATACATCATAAGTAGCTAACACTCGAATGTAATTTCCTCAATGGTACAATGATATCAAAGTGATCGCCGATGAGTAGACAGATCCTTTGAATTTAATAAATATTTAGTTATTTTGAATCATTTTTTGTAACAATTTACCCCGTCTAATATTATCGTACAATTGGTGACATTTGGGGTACAGTGAGATCGTTTGATTTATCGTACGGATAAAAAAAATAGAAAAGACTGATCACATGAAGAAAACGAGATTCAAATTATCCTTAAAAGTGCCTGAAATACTGTTGTAGGAAATTGACTGAATAATTTGGCTTTTGAGTCTGTGTTTTTTCGAATATCCTTTTTGAGATGAAGTTACCTTATAAGAGAGTGGCTATGAATAGCATTTCTAGATAACAATTTAAGCTTACAATAATGGGAAATTTTTCAATATATGTGGCAGAAAATTTGATAAGATACCTCGGTCTAACATGTCCTTCAAGTGATCCAGTTATTAAAATAAATAACAATTAACCAGATAATATAGCCTTTATGTCGGTTTAGTGGCTGATGAAGAGATAGATATATAAATATGAGGGTATACAAGAATTATAAACAGTATTTCTCTGTACACTGAGCTGGTCTGTGTGAATAACCACGTGGTGACAACGTTTTCTATTGAAAGAGATTTACAGATATATATTCGATTATCCTAACAATGTTATTTTTTAAACCATTTGCGAGTCAACAGCTTTTTTTGCGTGACATATGAAACATTGCGATATAATTTGCGTTATAAAAAATCTCTTGGGTTCAAAAATATTTTATATAAATTTTAAAATTTTCAATACAAAAGAAAAGTATCCAAATATCATTGTGTTTGTATCTATCAATCAACTTCAATGTAAGTCCCACAGTAATTAAATTTGTGTTTCTGAGAGTGAGAGTCCAGCATTAAACTAGGGAGAGTAAAGAACAAGACGAGTACGGAGCAAAAGTTGGAGCCATAGATATAAAAACAACTATAACATTGATTCTACAGCTTTTGTGCCTGTCATAAGTATCTTGTTTTCTCCGAGAGATCAATAAGTATTAGACATAGATATGTATCAAGTTAATTAGTTCCCATTTTAAGCGCTTTAACCTCATACTCTTTGAAACTATTGCAGCGTAACTTGTTTAAGCCAAAGATTACATCTTAGACATTAAAGCAGAAATATGAAATTGAATAATGTACGTATTACTTGCAAACTTTCATTATACAAGGTATTTTGGAGCTCACTTTTTTGCTGCCTCATATATACTATATAGTTTTACTTTGCTTTTATTTCTTTATGATCTATTTTTTTTCTCTTTCTAAAATAAGATGTGTGAGCTGTCAAATAAGTCAGATGTCATTATTGGATACTCACTCTAAAGATGTTGGTAGATCCAGTAAATAAAAGCTTCTCCGGATTTACATAGTGATTAACATATTCATCTAATAGTTTCTCATAAAATGCTTGAATCTTTCAAGCCCAATCGGATTGACACTTTGTGATCTTAATAGTGTTTTTAAATAATAATACCTTTTAAAATATCTCTAAACGCAGAAATTCTTTTTCGACGCACATATTGTCGCAATTATTATAGGTCACGCCAAAAAAAATCGGGCCGCAAGGTTCTTTTTTAGAGCGCAAAATCTAATATATCTATTGTATTCTTAGCAAGAAATTGTTACAGAATTTTTTTTTGTATATAATACCACTTGGTAGAAATTCAGACTGACTAGACTCACTCTTTATGAAATTGACAAATGCTTATTCCCAAGCATGCTCTATTTCTCTTAATCTATTTAGATTGTCTCTTCTAGTACTGAATTTCCATATAAATGTGTATATTGACATTCAATACTATGTTACCACTAATCTTGATATTAACACTTGTCAAATGCGATTGTTTATTGACTAATATCCCATAATATTCTGTTAGCCCTACTTAATACTCTGTTAAACCTTTATTTAGGTTCATTTGTCTATATTAAGTATACTTGTGATCCTTAACTCCAATGTTTCTCTAGCATCTTAGCTAGGTTACCACTACCTCTTTCCTTCTTACTCTTCTAGAACAAGGAATAGATCTTACGTCTTTTTTTCTGTCTACAAACACATGATTGAGTTAACTTTTTATTAGTACAGCAATTATTAAGACTGGCTTAGAGTGTGATACTTTTTTATTGATTATGTTATTCATACAATATTTATTTGTTATTCCCTATTAATGTCAATTTCATGGTTTAAGAAAAAAGGAAGGGAAGGAAGGCTCATCAAAGTAGCTAATAATGTTTGGAAGAGAGGCTGAAGTAGAAGGGTGGGTAATATCTATTCTGTGCGAGAGGTGGCGCGAGGTA